AGAAAGCCTGCCCCTTCCCCCGGACTCTGCCCCTCCCCCCCTGTGCTGGACCCTGCCCCTCCCTCCCTGTGTCGGACTCTACCCCTCCCCCCTGCAAGGGAACCTGCCCCTTCCTCCCCCCAACGTGGGACCCACCCTTGCGGGACCATGCCCCTCCCCCCTGCATGGGACCCTACTCCTCCTTCCCTGTGTCGGACCCTGTTCTCCCCCCCGCCCCCATGGAACCGTGCCCCTCCTCCCTCACTGCGGGACCCCTACCCCACAAATGTGCTGCCCCCTGAGATGCTCCAACCAAGGCCTCTCACTGTGCACCCCGGGGGCTCTGGGGACCCTGCGGGCTGTACTGGGGGGGTGTCGGACCCCCAGCCTGACAGAGAACGGGGTTCCCATGAGGTGTCTGGCAGTCCAGGGGGGCAGACGGGAGGATACGGCGTGGCCTGCCCAGGGCGTGGCTGCCAGGGGGCGCAGCGGAGACCCGGGGCCGTTCACCCCATGCCAGTAGCACCCGCGCTGACCTCGGAGACGCACGGGAGGGGCCCTGTTGCGCCACCCCACCCTGTGGTCAGAGAGCGGGAGCCAATGCCAGGATCGGGGCCGCCACCTGGCCCCCTGGGCGAGCGCCCGGTGTTTCCTGCTGGCCTCTTCCGGGGGCCGGGCCCAGCCCCACACGCAGGGCTCAGGCCAGCGTTGCCTGGAGCAGGGGGCCCCGCAGCTGCCCCGAGGTTGGCCCCTGGCTATGTCCTGCCCACGCCGCAGCCCCGCTGGGCCCATGGGCTCTCCCCGGCACTGATCCTCGGAGCAGGGGAGGGGGTTCTCCGCGTGCTGGGCACCGAGGCACGGACAGAGCGGGTCTGGCTGGGCGCTGGGGGGTTCAGAGCCAAAGGGGGCCTGGATCTGTCTGTGGGGGGCACATGCAGAGTTCTGTCAGTGACACCGCCCCACGCTGGAGCGTCCCGGGCTGCAGCCAGCGTGGGGCACACGGGGGCAGGTTATCCCCCAGTGGCTGCTGCTGGGTGCCCTGGGGCCAGCCGGGAGGCCAGGCTGGATGGGCCCAAGGCTGAGCCGTCCGGTCTGTTCCTGGGCACTGCAGATTTCCAATCAGATGGACACGGAAGTTGGGTTCCGGATTCACCAGCGTCTGGAGCTGGGGATGCTGCAGCCGGCCGTGGTCACCATCTATGAGTATTACGAGCCTGGTGAGCGTCTCCTTGGGGCTCCAGGCAGGGGCACCGCGGGCACCGGCCCTGCCTCGCGGGCGGG